CGAGCTAGTGAGAGAAAAACATCACATTCCTTTTTTTGGTTTTAGAATATAAATTCTACTGCAGACACAGGCTTTAAAAGAAATTAGCATCAGATTCCTAATCTGGAACTGATAATAAAAATGCATACAAACTCACCGGCTTTTCTCTAATGCAGTTTGGAATGCAAGTATTGCTTGCACAGAAACCAAACTGCCCCTTCTGACAGCTGAGTTGAAGCTCTCTGAAAAGCTGTTTGCTCAGTGTCTCCTTGAGCCAAATTTGCAAAGCATTGCTCTGCTGAAATGAGATTGTATTACAGCTATTGTAGAAAGGGGAACGGGGTTAAATTAGTGTAAAATGAATAAATTAAGTGCTATGAGCTCCCCCCCCCCCCCCCCTTATTAGTTGAAAAAGACAGTCACAAAAAGATAAACATGGGTACAAGGTAGCACCCGTGATACCAGTACCCTTGAGCTGAGCCAGTGCTCTAGAGACTGGAGCAAGGTTTAACATGAAATTTCATCCATTAATGATCACAGCTAGGGGGTTCTGAATTAACAATTTACTTACAGGCTCTTTACAAGCAAGGGACAACCTGAAACATCTGGAATTGACTTTAAACTCTTGGATTTAAGATGAGAGGTGCCTAGACCCATTAAAGAACCCATTGTTCTCTCTACATTTAGCTTCTTTTCAGTGTTTATGGGTGTCTGTGGTTTGCAACCCAAAATAATGTGGTCCACATTTAGCTCTAACAGCAAAATGCAGAAGGTTTAGAACACAGACAAACATAAGCAAGCCACCACAGCATCTTTAAACACACCAGAAGGAGGTTTTGCTGAAGTATTAAATGCATCACTTGTCTTTTCAGAGCACTTTCCTGTCATCGTTTCTTAAGATGTACTTAAACGGGGAGTTCTGAAGGAGGATGAAAGAGGTGACTCTGATTTCTTTTCCCACTTTTTCTGTGCATAAATTTCTGTCATTTCAGGGAGATGGGTTTGCAGGGTCATTTCTCACCAGGCATTGCACTTTTCTTTGTACATCTCAAGATTTAGGCATACTACCTATCATCCTACCTCCTACCAGAAAACTCCCCTCCCTTGCAGTGCTGAGATTTCTTGTCTATAGACCGTAAGCCACTATTACCACTGTGCAAACCACATGTGGCTCAGCAGAGATGTATCTTACTGTCTGTTGGAGGCAGAAGTGAGGCATAATGGACTTACAGAGCGTGCAAGTATGACTCAATAGCTTGGGTCAAGCATCACCGCTCCCTACAAATGGAACACCTTTATGTGTTTGTTAGCTTAAATTAACTCTACGTGCATCACATTTTCAAGATATACATATAAGACTAAGACACTGTTAACAAGATGAAATAAAAGAGAAATCATCCACAAATGGCTTTTTCTAAACTTGTTAAATTCATGGTGCTTAGCTGCTTACATAAGCTCAGTGAAGCATGCATTTTGTTGTACCAGCCTTACATCCTCTGGTCACATACACAAAGGCACATCTTTTGGGGACGTACGCTTACTTTCCATCCCAAACATCTCCATGGCTTTTCCCAAGTTCAGCTTCATACCTTCTGCACCAATTGAGATTACCTCTTGCTTTGAGCGAAGTAGCAGGCCACTTCAAAATCACTTCCTTCTCCCAGACTGCATATAAGCAATTTCCCCTGGCCTGCTTTGGTGGAACACTTCTTAAAGCCAGCCTGGAGAGACCTACAGGGCACTGCTCATTTCCATGTGATGGCTAGGCTAATTCATATGCTGTAATGTGTGTTTTTGCTTTGAACACAGAATCAGACTGTGAAGAAGTAAATTATGTGTGTAATTGATGCTTTTAACACTGAGAGTTAGGAAAAAAAAAAAAAGGAACAACTGAATTTAACAGGAAATTGATTTCTTGTCCCACCTTCTTATTCTGCTTAATGTGTTTTATTTCACACTTCCTCATCAAATTCTAATCGGACATTTAGTTTTGCATTATAGGGGCTACTCATCACTGTCTATTTTATTATATGTGCCTACAGCTGTAGGGGGGATGTGTATCTAGAAGACAAGGGTTTGCTAGGCTCATATAAAGTAAAAATATGTTTATAGTGGTGAAACCGTATATGCAAAGTGGAGCCAAAGCAGGGAGGGGCTACAGGCCAGTACTGCCCCCTGTTAAGGCTCAACTATGCCTGTCATCCTCCAGAAAATGTGTGATTTGAGGGCTGTAAAATAGCAGTGTACAAGGAATTACCTCCTGTGTCCTGGCACTGAGGAAACCCATCATAAATATCCTAGAAAGCATTTCTGGCATTTATCTGACTACTGTAATCTGAGTTCTTGGTGGGTTCAGCCTCTAAATTAAGAACTGGGTATGCCTGTGGTCTCATTTGAAGAGCTACCCCTTGGCAGGTGATCTACAGCTGAAGATTATTTGGCCACTGATTCCTGAGCTCACCTGGAACAAATTGGGGTGGGGAGAGGTTAAAGCACTGTGGTATGACATGGAGAAATGACCTGATAGCTCTCTAAAATAGCTTTCATTAGGAAACCAGCTGTGACAAGCAGAGAAGAGCGTTGCTGTAACTCTTCACACTGGATGGATATGTGGCAGGGTCAGAGCAAGGGGGATAAAGGGGAAACAAGGAAAGAGAGTGGGATATACAGCTACCTTTGAAGCAGCACGTCTAAAGGCATAGTTTTATCTGGTTCAGTAATAAAATATGCATTCTTTCAGTATGTCTCTAATCCCTCAAGCTTGCTTTGGTGTGTTTGTGATGAAAATCAACACTTTTTTCCTCCAAACTGTGAATTATCTTAACCCTAAGTATCTCCCAGAACAAAACACAAGCAACAGTGGATTAACGTCACTGGTGGAGCTGCAAGAGAGGCACCAAAGTATACTGCTTTTCAGACACCATCCCCAAATGCTGCCTGGAGAGCTAACAACCAGTGTAGATGAGGCCTCCACAACCCCTCCAACGAGGGGAGGAGGTACGCAGCTGCAGTGCATGAGGGGAGCTTTCTACCATCAGCTGTGAAATAATGTTTTGGTGAATAATTTCTTTAACAGGCAGGTTGAACAGCGTTAGTATCCCCTTGGTCTCTCAGCAGGCAGGGTAGTTCTGGCCATGCTGCAATTCCCTGACTTTTCCGGAGTATTTCCATCTGGTGTGATCAGTGGAAGGAGTTTTGCACCATCTTGTGGAAGGGGCAGTACCTGACTTGGATGATGGGCAGTGAGAGGACATAGCAAAATAGCCTAGCGCTTCCTGTACCCTCAGACTGCATCTTCCACCAGGACAGGGGCAACGTCTCTCAGAATAATTCCTGTAAGTGAATTGTTAAGGAAATTGTATTCCTGTTAATTTCCTGCTGCATTCTTGGGGCCCGGTGTTATGCTAAGCTGCTGACTTGTATTGCATTGTTCTACTTTGCATGATAATAGATAAGGTACATGGCTGATGCAATTTGAAATCCTATTGCTAGTGATTCTGAGGTGCTGCTCTTTCAGACAAAACGTGGTTCTGGTCTTTATTCTGTTTTTGTGTCAGTGTGAGTTTTATGTAAGTACAGATTTCTGAATCTGGCTCCTGAAAGAGACTCGCAGATCTGGTTCTTACACAGAAATGCATGGGAGCCCTGTGAGGAACGATGGCAAAAACCATAAAGTTTTGAAGTGTCCCTTCTACTTTATCTGTCCTGCAATGTTTCCTCCCCTTGAATGGGTGAAGTAAAGTTTGGAAATTATCGTGCTCTGTCTCTTAGGTTGCATTAAGTACCTATTCTTGAGATTCCTTTAGAGAGAGTAAACCTTGGCTGACTCAGTGTGTTCCTGTCTAAGAAACTTTACTTGTATTACGTGCAAAAAGAAGCATTAAAGAAAATTAATGTTTAGTCTGTTATATTAGGTATAACTACTAACTGGGTATGACTACTGGGCAGACTACAAGTGGCTGTGCCTATTGGGTATTTGCATTACTTGATATTGTACCAATCTCCTAGGATAATTTTTCACCCCACAGTATCCAGAATTGAGCTTCAGTTGAGGTGATCAGCTCACCTGAAAACCGTATTTGGTTTTGTAGAAATAAGTAGCAAATAGTGGAGATTAATGACAGATGAGGCAAAGATGGTTGGATGCCATTTGCGGGTTCTGAGCAGAATTGCTGACCGGCAGTGATACAGGCAGTCCTGGGATCTCCAAACATTGCCTTATTTGGTGCCAATCCTATTTGCTGACACATTGCTTTCATGAATTTCATCATTAGTGCTGTAAGCAAATGAAGTATAAGTTAATTCTACTGTAACGTGATTATTAAGTCCATTAATCAAAGGCAGGAGATCCGTAATTAACTTATTCTCTAGCATCAAGTAAATGATTCAGCTGTGAGCTTTAAGAAAGCAATTGTTCACTAATATGCAAAATACAGTGGGGCTATTAGACTATAAGGCTGTGGAATTATATAATGAAATTATAAATTTTGCATATTTTAATAACATATATTTTAATTATTTTCTTTGTAAAGTTCAAATGGAGGATCATTATTTTTGCCTTTTTTTTTTTTTTTAGCTTTTAAATGTAGTTTACCAAACATGGAAAAAAAAGAAAACAGTTTGTCTGTCTCCTGCTTGAAACTTGACTGTTTTCATGCAGGGCTGGGATTTTGGTGACTTACCTTGAACTTATCTTCAGCAGTGGCTGATGGTAGATTTCTTCTGTTTTACACTTCAGCATCATCATTGTTGGTGACCGGAGGCATTCAAATTTTAATTTTGAATTAAATTCAAATTTTAATGCCCACATTTCCAGCCCAGCAAATCTTAGTTGCTCATCTTAATCTTTCTCTATACACTTTAATCTCAAGTGCAATATAGAAGGCATAGCCAGCATCACCCTCCTTTCTCTTGAGGGAGAGGGACGTGAAGGTTTGTCCACCTTCTGCCTTAATTTTTGAGAGAGCTAATGGAAAAGTATCCCCATGTTT